CAGGTGCCACCTAATTGACTTTCTTCTATTTAACAAGAAGTTTATGTTCTCCTTACCTTTTATCATCTTCATAATCACTTTTTTAGGCAATTTTTAAAATTAGTTTTTTATTTACATATTCTTGGATATGCAAGTGCTTATTTTAAATTTATTTTAATGCTTAACACATAGATTTTGAAATAAAGTTACTGATTATTAACATATAGTGTGATCTCTGGTGTAAAAACGTATGTTAAAAAGAAGCTAGGTAAATTTGCCAAATTAAATATACCGATATGGGAATGATTTACTTTTCAGCCCATTGACTGCTGATTTGCCGTATAGGGTACAGTTGGCCTCTGGCAATTTAATGCAATTGTGCTCTACACGGTGTGGGGCTTGCAAAAATTTTGCACACATTTAGAGCAGCTGCACTCAATGAGTTAATGTAGCTTTATGATTATGTAATATTATTGTGAATTTAAAGTTAAACAGTTTTACAGCTTTAACAATGCAATGCAAACTTTATTTATTTGTTAGTGATTCATATGTAAAAAATTTTTTGTAGTACACTATTATTAGATCCCTTTCAAGTTGAGATCAGAATTTCTACGATAAATTGATCTTGTGAGTCATTGCTAAATGAATATGATGTGGAGAGTTATTGTCAATGAGTTTTGATATAGTGTTAAAATATTTTTGGTAGCTTGCTTAACCAACCTTGTTCTCTTATCAGGTCCATAAAGCTTAATTTAGTGTTTCCAAATCTTGTCATTATTCTTTATTTTATGTTTTTGTTATCTTTACTGGTGTTAGAATAAAATATTTGAATATCATAACTAGTATATTATGTGGTCATTAAACAATTTAGTTGAATATAGGATACTGATGTATATAGTAGGGGATTATATCCATTTTTGTTAATCGACAAAATAGTGCTGAAATATTTTGTGTGTTTGATAATGTTTTTTTATGCAATATTAAGTGCACAAAATGATGATGAAAAGTATACATTAATAATTGAATTTCTGTTTTTAATGCAGATGATGTTAGTTTTGGAGAAACTGTTTCTCATCCTCCTAGTCTGAAGATCAGGCCTAAAATGGGAAAGGCAAAAGATAAAAAGGTATGTTTAGAATATAGATTGCATGGGTAAATTTGTAAAGGAAAAAGGAATAAATTTGCAGTAAAAAAGTGTTTAGCAACTCATACACCAGTGCTCTTGTGAAATTCTGTATCAGTGGTGCTATAGAATTTAACAGAAATAGAGAAAGTTTATTCTGCAATACATTTAAAAATGTTTGGTTCAAATTATTCAAATTCCAATGTTGAGAAATTGAAACCTTGAAAGTTCTATAAAAATTCAGTTTGCCCTATTACTTGTAAAGTGTTTATTTAACCATAGGTAAATAATAATCTGAGCAAACACCGATGAGAAGACATTTCTCTATATTATCGTGTTTGGGCATCTTTTTCAAATTCTGGACTTAGCAGTTTCTTCCACATAGCAATCGGTGCATTACTGTTGATGAAAATAAAGGCTACAGCCTAATAAATCACATTTGTGGAATGTAATCTGTTATTAGACCAAATGCAGTACAAGATGGTTCCAGAAAATTGTGAGACTATTCTCAAAAGGTATTAGTAATAAAAGGGCAGTGGAAAAATACATTTATATAACATTTAAAATAGGCATATTAAATTTGAGAGAGAGCATTATTATAAGTCTAATGACATAACAAATAACTGTAACAAAAGATACATTTGATTTAGTTATCATTTTACTGAGTCATCAAATTTTTCCTATTCAGTTGATGTTCCTGTGGTATAATTATTTTTTTATTACCAGCTTGAACCTCCAGCATTTCATGATTAATTACCATTTGTATAAATAATTAATGTTGTATTTATTTTGTGGAGGAAATGTGTCAGTGTTTCCATGATATATTGTTTGTTTGTCCTCTCAGACAAAGTATTTTCCAGGTTTGTATTGTCTTAGTTTTGAAAATGGCATTTACAACTTTTATTAGGTTTCAGTCATATAGGGTTTAAAATTGTTACATTTCTGGGGCTTGAACTACTACTTACACATGTCTACCCAGTAGAAGTGTCAACTATGCATTGAATATTTTAAATTGATATGGTAGAATTTGCCCCCCTTACTGCTACTAACAAGTCATTTTTCAGGAGTAAGCTCATGGACTATTATAAATATTATAATGTATTGTTTCATTACTTGGGTATTTTCATTGTTAATGTTATTTTTGGCCAGAAATAATACCTCATTTAGGGGATTTAGGTTAGTTCTCAATCCATGTGATAAGCTAACAATGCATAATAAAAGTAAAATGCCTTTTAAAAATAATAAAACTAGATATATTAAACATTTTAACCAAGACTCTTAATGAAAGTAACATAAAGAAATATTAAAGTACACTTCACTTATGGAACACATGAACACTAGTTGTTAACTTTAAGTACTATCATAGATTTAATGTTTGTTGAAAAACTTGACTGAGTGTAAGCAAAACTTTACACTTTCTTCCTTAACAATGTCTTGTGACCAATGAAAATCCATTAAATAGTTCCAGTGGTGTAACTTTAGAAGAGCCTGACATGTTTCTGTTCAGCTGTAGAGTTAATAATCAGAATGATTCTCCCAAAATAGGAATAGTTGGCATCTATTCTTAAGTGCTTTGTTGAACCATTTTAAAAACCTTCTGGCTGTGAATGATATGATAATGTTTGCAATAAATATTGTCTAGTTTTTTAGTCTTGCTACTCAAAATTGTGTCCAGATAATACAATAACTGAGAGGGAATGCCAGAACTGGTGTGTGAGAATGTTGCAGTGGTTAACTTTGTATTATTTGTTAGCAGTAGGTTTCAGTTTAATATTATTTGTGGAGCAGTCGGCCATCACAAGTGATTATTATGAACAGTCATCCCACACCATTTAGCTGCTGTTAAACTCCTTTTTATATCACTTTTTGTTCCTTACCTCGTTTGTCAACTTATTTCTTTCTTAGACACTGGCAAACGCGTGAAACATTTGGTATTAATTTTATGTCCTTTCAAAACAATTTTTATCATATTAACTATTTATTCATGCTTATTTTCACCTGTTATAACTATACTAGTAACCATTTTCTTACTAATTTGCTCGTAATTACACAAGTGCACAATCCCACTGCTGATGAACAGATGATCTGTGGAATATCTGCATTATTGACAGTTGTACAAAAAAAATTTTAAGCTTTCATTAAACTTGAAAATAACCTATTTTCTTTCCAATATTTATTAATTGTTTTAAGTTTAACCCTGATATATACATACATATGCATAGATAATTTCAGGAAATACTAAAATTTGTTTAAGTACTTGTAGTAGTTGAAACTGCTAGATTTTACTTTTCTACAGTCATAAAAATAATATCACTTTATTTGGGTATATTTATAAACATTTTAAAAAGATTTCATGGTATTCTGCATTTAGTTAACACCTTGTAAACAGTATGTAAGTAGTTGATCTTGCTTTAATTCCATCCACAAACTACAGATCCAATAAATACTTACCTCCTCGGACACTTATAGCTATTACTAGCTAAGCATTGGTCTGATTTTTTCTCACTTGTTCCAGTCTTTTATACCCCACTCAAATGCCCTTGGTGATATTTATCTCGTGATACTCTTCACCTGTGTCAGTGTGCCCTCTATCCTGGTACTGTATATGAGCACCTCATTCAGATAATATTATCACTTTTTTTTTTGACAAAGTATCACTAACAAGTTTCCTAGTATTACAGTTTTTTGGAGATACTTTGGATGTTATTGTGTTATATAGTTGATTTTCTTATTAATAATTAAAAAAATAAAGGAAGAATAATTTTTTTTTCTTCTTCTGATTGGCAAGCTGATTTACAGTGTGAATTCCCGGATTCTTATTTCCAGCACGGAGGCAAATTAGGTCTCTCCTAACCCACCTCTGATATGTAGCGTCATACAACAATTGAGGTGGGGGGAGTCACTCTCAGTTGAGACTGTCAGTGATCTTATTCGTAGTGAGGTGAAGACATATGTTCAGATCTTTGGTGGTCCTTCAGGGGCTCTGAGGCTGCAATTGAGGGCAATCCTCAACATTTTGGAGAGACTATAGATTTGCTTTTCCTGTGCCTTCTTTTAGTCTGTTGGATTCTCAACCACCTGCGGGACAATGGAAAGTTTATGAAGTCGCAGTGCTGAGGTCCTGTGTTCAAATCCCTATGGTGGACACAGCAGATGGCCCTAAGTTACTTTGCTTTAAAAAAAAACTTACTTTACTTCACATAATACTGTTCCAATCAACATAGCCTTTAAATGACCTGAGAAAAATGAAAAGGAGGCCATTTTGGGATAAGCTACTTTTGATTTGTTTTTCTTCTATCTGTTCTTTGTGTGTGTGATGTTTTGGGCTTTTTTCCCAGTTGCTTTTGAGCATACAACTAACTTGATAGCTGAAAGGTCTGGAAGCAAATTTTTAGTTTTTCTCCATACATGGATATTGTGGTTTGAGTTACATAAAGGGGCAGTTAGGTGTTATCGGAACTTCGTGATTTAGCCTACCACCACCAGATGGAGGCATTTTTCTGACTCTCAAATAATACATCTGCTCCTCGAATTTTGGGGTTCTAAGGTGTAACATGCAGTTAACCTATATAGTTCTATGTCCCCTGATGGGACAGAATAAGTTTATGGACTTACAACTCAAATTCACCAGTTTGTTTCCTTTCACTTCACTTTGTTACTACTCTCATGATCACCAACTTCATTAATGACGAGCTGGATCCATTGTTAGCATGCACGTAAGTTCAATTTTTAGCTTATATATTCCTCCTGGTTGTTGTTGGAGTCTCGAATTTCATCAGCTCCTACAGGGGGTCATAGTTCTGCTCGTATTCATGAGTCCTGACCCCTGACATCAGCCCCTTGGTACATTGGTACCCAGTATAGATTCTGTCTATATCCAAGGTATCCACTGGTTAGTTGGATCTCCAACAGCATTGGTTATTATTGTATACTTTCACGGGCTGTGGGGCTCAGTTCCAATAATTTCTGGATGGGTGGTAACCTTAACCATGGGTCCAGGAGCTCTGTAGGTCCTTGGGTCACAATTAGTTGTTCAGTTCACATCTTCACCACTATTATCCATCAAACCTGTAGGGTTTCAGTAAATCACAGTTCATCAGGATTTGGAACTTAGTTCTTGGACTATCAGAGTTTGGTTTGTCTGAGGGTAGTGAGAGAGTTGTGCTAGTTCTTCAGAGGCTTTATGTCTGTCTGTTGTTGGGCCTATGCAGCCAGGAGATTGGTGTCCAGTCATCGATTGTCCATGTCAGTATCAATGTCTAGATTCTCCAAGGTTCACAAGTTACTCATTGCTCAATCTGTGTTGATGTTCTTACTGGGATTGTAGATATCCAACTTGGTTGTAGTCAGCTCCTATCTGCACTTTGCCTTAGCGATGGAGTTCCACCACAAGGTGCACAAGGGTCAGCTACTGCAGTTCCAGGTTTTTCCCTTCAGACTCGCATAGGCTTCACGTGGATTCTGCTGTATCATACAAGTTTTTTTTTTCCCTATCCCCTTCATTCCATCACTCCATTTTATGGACAACTGATTACTGCTGGCACCATCTCGTCAATTGTTAGACCATCACATCCTGATTCTACTTTCAGATACAACCAAGGCAGGTTTCCCTTTCAGGACTGCAACATCTATTCTTGCTCCAGTTTAATATGTCATCATTCAAGGTATTTTTTATTTTTCATCTCATCTCTCATTTGGGCTCAGCTGTCTCCAATCTGGCTCTACGCCACAATCTTACCTCTTCTTTTCACACTGCATAGATGGTTCTTTTTCTTCTGGGAATGTGGGCATTACTTGAATCCTTTGTTCCTTTGGGACAAGAACACAAGCAATCCTTTTATTACTCTTTAAGCGACTAAGGATCATAAACATCTATTTACTAGTTTACCTAGTTTTCTTAAAATAAGACCCAAAACTTGAGCACTTTCAAATAGTCAACTATTCGAAAGAACTTGAGTTTTGGGTCTTATTTTAAGTTTATTACACTTTATATGTGATCCTTT